AACAAATAAAAAGCAAAACTATATTCTAATGAAACATAAATTGCATTTAACGACAAAATGAGATATAATTGTTAATGGATTTGCAAAGTGAGAGAGAGAGAGAGAGAGAGAGAGAGAGAGAGATAGCATAGAGTTTTTAGTACACAATCAGTGCTACAACTTGTGGCCCACAGAGGAAGTCAAGGATTACTCTACAGTCAAATGATGACATTTTTAGTGACTTAAAGTACCAAATCTTCAGTCTCTTTACTTTCCATTAGTTATTATATGATATGTTGCAGATTATCAGTCAATAGTTTGTTTGCTAATTATTTACAAGTTGTATTGTATTGTGATAAACGCTCCACTAATCTATAAACACATTCAAGTTTTCAATACTTTCTTTCTCAGTAATTAGCAACTAATCTAACAATTATAGCGATTCTTGATGTTCAACATGTTTTATGCATGTATTTCAGACACTTTTGACTATTTAATCAATTTTTGAGACAAAATATATGTCTGTTTTTTGAGAACAAAATGCAGGCCTCCCTTCCAAGTGCTCATCTCATGATTTACTGACCAAAAACTAACGGGAGGTCCGGCTATATGTGGAGCCATAGGGGCTTAGTTTACGCTCACTTCAACTCAAATTAGCCTTTCGTTTACTTGTAAACAAAATTATTAACGAAATACTTTTGGTTTAACACAAACCAAATTATTCTCCAAAAAACTATTTGTCAAATGAATTTGATATCACTTGTGGACAATTATAACACTAAAAGGGTTGGAGACAGACACTGCAATTAAGCCATAAAATGTCAACCAATACCCACTATTTAATGTCACAATTTGAAACATAATACTTATTTCAGTTCGTTTTGCACTTTATTTGTCAAATATTTTTTATAATAATTATGTTTATAATAGTTAATGTTATTTTATAATGTAATGTTCAGTACTTTGTGAAATTAATCAGATATTTATATAATTTCAAAATTGTATGATTTATATAATTAATTAATAATAAATATTTCAACAATTTTATAAAATCCAAACTAATCTTCTTTTAAATTATTGTTAAATATATTTACAATTATTTGTTGGAATAAATTTATTAAATTAAATATTAATTACAATTATACAGTACTGTAAACAATAGTTTGTGTAAAAAATGTAATGCATGGAAAGCTGTAACTAAATTGATGGACAATTTATAAATAACGGGCACTTTAGTTATTAAATGAGAGTAAATCAGACATAAGTATAAGCATAGAGTTGTAGTGAATTAGAAATTATACTCAAGTATTAAAAGATAAAGCATTGCATGTATTCTTAAAGTATTGGTGACTGCATTCAAATTGAGTGACAAATCCGATGCAAAAGCAATTTGTAATAAAAGCCTAATCCGCTAATGGCATACAATATATGCTCTATTCGTACGGAACTTATATAATATGATAGCTATTGTGAGTCCTGTAATCCATTATCAATATATACCTGTCTATTGTGTGAAAAAGGCTATAATAACGAGAATTGGCTCCGTTTTAGTGAAATTAATCATATTATACATGAAACCTATTCTTATGGTGTAATTCTGTTGATAATAGGGAGAGACGCGTGTCGTTTCGCTACACACTGTATATGCTTTCATATATACTTCAAACTTGTGATCACTAACTATAATAAATAAAACACACGATTCAAGTGCCAGATCTACGACAACGACTCAATTTCAATTAATTTGCTTCAAATACTTGCTGTAAGTATTGAATGAAAATGAATGGCGTTTTTAGATTCAAATCAAACTTTTTAATATACATTAAGAACACAATTACATAAATGAATGTCTGAATCGGTATTTTGTTTATTTGTGAAACACATTTGATTTCGTTATTCAAACTCATATCAAAAGAGGGAAAATATTTATTATGAATACAAATATATATATATATATAATTTAAGTAATGTTTGAGATATATTCAGTGATTGCCAGTTCTTGTGACAGCAGTGTATCTCATAATATGAGTTCATCTGTCAGTTTGCTATTAACACTATAATTAATCAATTTATAGGACATAAATTGGCGTTTATTTTATCTCACATTTTTCATGCCTTATAATTCATATATAAGTTATTTCTCTCAATTTATTCAAATGAATATCTCATTCAAATTCAAATAACGTGAGATTCTATTAAGATTTCTTATCACTTAAAATAAATAAAAATATTTCGCCAGAAAAAAGTTTCATATCATATCTTATGTGATAATTACAAGACTTTTAAAATTCTAGTTTTATATTTACATTATAGTTCACACTCTTCTATGATATTTTGATCATTAATTGAATCAAACATTTTAAAATTTTTAAGTATTCTATTAATAAATTGAATAAATTTTAAACATTAGTTATAATAGTAATTACAATAAATATGTAGTAAATCATGTATTAGAGACTAATTTCATATAATATTGTATATTATGATTACATGTTTATATAGAGTTTAGTTAAATATAACGAATTGAATGCAAATATCTTACAAAACATGGAAACAGCGGTCAGTCATAGCATTCAATGACTCCAATTAGATATGTATTTCATTCAGAGAGAAGTGATTTGAAAGAATATTTTAGAATCTCTTCAAAATTAATTGCGAGAAGTGCTCATCATTTGTGTCATCGTATGTGCTGTTCATTGCATTGCCTTTAAATAGCCATACAATTGGGATGTGAGTGATGTGCAAATGCTTGCAAATGTCAATCTCTCCTCTCAACGACAGTCGGCCAGAATGTTCACTCTCTCTACTGTACACTTGTGTCTCTATTCAGATGTGCACTGCTTTCAACAGTGTTTGCCTGTAATGCCATTCATGTCAACGCTATTTCGCGAAACAAATGTTTAGCAAATGTTTGAATCGATCGTCAAATCAATAGCAAAGACATAGCAGTCTTTTCCCTCTCTTACAAAACATTAATTTTGTTTTCTATTCAAATATTTGCTTCTAAACTACAACTCCTATTATATTTGAAACCAAAATCAAATTTAACACTTAATTTACAGATAATATGAAGGGTTTTGGTAATCACTGCGAACACCCGAATATCCAGGGCGGGTATAGGAAGGGATATATAGCTGGCTTTAAGAAATTAATGTCATCCGAGCCGTACATGAGCTGATCGTCTTTCATCAACACTTTAACCGCCACTTTCCTACTACTCGACGATGAATTGAGTCCAGGACTGGAGGGCGATGTTTGCGATGGCAGCATATGTAGGGCTGCACTGCCCGCCTGTATCATCAACTCGTGTTGCATTTGTTTGCGTTTTGTTTTATATCTTCTATTTTGAAACCTTTTCATCGATAAAAATCAATTAATGCAAACTTTGAATAATCAACAAATATTTTAACATTCAACTTGTGGTAACAAATAAAAAGTATCGCTCGAGCGCTCAGACATAATGTATTGATTAAATCAAAACTCACCAAATTTTCACTTGCGTTTCGGTCAGTTTGAGAGCTGAAAGAATTTCAATAAATGAATTGACATGTATTTCAAACAAACACTGATGGAGTGGTTGTATAACATAAGCAAACGTATGCATACCCTGTGCGAGATCGGCTCTTTCAGGACCGCTGAGATACCTCTGATGAGAGAACCGTCGCTCCAACTCATAGACCTGGGAGTGAGAGAAGGCGGCGCGCGATCTCTTCTTTCGAGGCTTATTCAATACACCCGAAGACGTGCCGACACTTACGCCGACATTACTATTATTAGGCGCCGACGAGTTGTTGCTATTATTACAAACACTGCCTATTGATGACAACTTCAGCTCTGTTTGTATTCGTATTTATTTGAAAGAAATATTAAATCTTAAGTAAAGTTATTTCACACATATTAATACTTAAAGTATCAACATATAATTAATGTTATTAACATATGAAAAGTGCTATACTGTATTACAGATTATACTATATATGCAAGCTTATTTAATTATTTCAATTTACTGTTAACTAAATATAAGATAATAACTTTTGCAAAGGAATTGAAATAATACTTATTTAAATAATGTCTGTTTGTTTAAAAGTATTGATATTCTGATATAATATGAATGACTTGTACTTACTTTGCAAACCATCTTTGAGAAGAGTATGAGATGTGGGCCCTAACCAGGGATAGTGTGAGGAATAAGGGGTAGTGATCTGTGGTCTGTGTGCCGACGGCATCAATGGAGACGATCCAATCAACTGGTCGTACGGACTGACAGCCATGCGATGGGACCGGCATTTAGAGTGATGTGACGAGGGATAGGATGTTGTGATTGCATTGTTTTCGGCCGAAGAATGTTGAGAACACACGAATGTCGGCGATTCTGACTCCCCTTCCGATGTGTGGCCGCTTTGATTGTGTTTAGTTGAATCACTATTGGCTCCCAATAACCGGTTTATACTAAATGATAGTTTCGATGGTTTAGTAATTGAATCGCTCGGATGAAGATTTGGTGACGAAAGTGGTTCTCGTTTTAGTGACTGAGACACGTCTTCCTCGTCATCATTGATGTCAATACTGACGTCTGAATTAATAGGACTCGAGAACAATGATCGAGGCATTGATGAGTCCGAGTAATTGCTTTTAACCATTGAATACCAATTAAGTGAAAGATAATAAGTTGTATTTTAATTTGATTTTTATCCACACAAACGTATAATTAATAAAATGGGTGAACAGAATATGAGATCGCTTTATAATCAATATTTAAAGGCAATGAATTTTGAAACAAATTTCCCAAAAAAATTCCAGAATATTTGTAAAGTACTATCACTTAATACTCGATCGCATCTCAATTGAGTATATCCTCAAACTTCAGACATACAACACATTGTAAAGTGTGACCAAAATAATGACAACTTTGGACGGCCTTTGGTATGCTTATACTTATGTCTGATTTACTCTCATTTAATAACTAAAGTGCCCGTTATTTATAAATTGTCCATCAATTTAGTTACAGCTTTCCATGCATTACATTTTTTACACAAACTATTGTTTACAGTATAATTGTAATTAATATTTAATTTAATAAATTTATTTCAACAAATAATTGTAAATATATTTAACAATAATTTAAAAGAAGATTAGTTTGGATTTTATAAAATTGTTGAAATATTTATTATTAATTTAGTATATAAATCATACAATTTTGAAATTATATAAATATTAATCTCATTAATTTCACAAAGTACTGAACATTACATTATAAAATAACATTAACTATTATAAACATAATTATTATAAAAATATTTGACAAATAAAGTGCAAAACGAACTGAAATAAGTATTATGTTTCAAATTGTGACATTAAATAGTGGGTATTGGTTGACATTTTATGGCTTAATGGCAGTGTCTGTCTCCAACCCTTTTAGTGTTATAATTGTCCACAAGTGATATCAAATTCATTTGACAAATAGTTTTTTGAAGAATCATTTGGTTTGTGTTAAACCAAAAGTATTTCGTTAATAATTTTGTTTACAAGTAAACGAAAGGCTAATTTGAGTTGAAGTGAGCGTAAACTAAGCCCCTATGGCTCCACATATAGCCGGACCTCCCGT